ATTTAGTTTGCTAGTATTTTGTTGATAATTTTGCATATATGTAAGTCAAGGATATAGACCTGTAGCTTACCTTTTCTTTTCTTTTTTTTCTTTTCTTCTTTGTTTTTTTTTTTTTTTTTTTTTTGGTGGTGGTGGTGTTTGTTGTTTTGAGATGGAATCTCACTCTGTTGCCCAGGCTGGAGTGCAATGGTGCAATCTCAACTCATGGCAACCTCCAACTCTCATGTTCAAGCAATTCTCATGCCTCAGCCTCCTTGGCCTTGCAAGGAGGCTAGCAATTTATTCATGTTTTTCAGGTTTTCAATTTTTTGATGTATATTTATTTATAATAGTATCTAATTATTTTTTTTTGCATTTGTAATATAAGTTGTTATGAATTCCTTTTCATTTCTAATTTTATATATCTGTATCTTCCCTATTTTTTATTGTCTGGCTTAAGATTTTTCAATTTTGCATATCTTTTAAAAATATCAACTTGTCTTTTAATTAATCTTTTGTATTGTATTTTCAATCTCAATTTTGCTTTTTTCCTGCTCTGATTGTTATTATTATTTTCCTTCTGCTAAATTTGGGTTTGATTTGCTTTTGTTTTTCTATTTATTTTTGTTGGCATCTTAAAATTGTTAATTTGAAGTATTTCTTTTTTTGATGTAGATGTTTAATGCTATAAACATACCTGTATATAACTGTACATACCTGTATAAATCAAGCTTTTGCTCTATTTTATAGATTTTGATAGGTTGTGTTTCCATATCCATGTCTTTTAAGAATTTTTTAAAAATTTCTTCCTTGAACAAATGGCTATACAAGAGCATGTTGTTTAACTTTCATATGTTTTTGTGTTTTTTAAGATTTCTCTTCTTATTGATTTACAATTTTGTTTCTTTGTAGTGAGACAAGATACTTGATATAATTTGGACTTTTTATTTTGTTGATACTTTTGATACTTTTTTCCTAACCTATGTTCTGTTTTGGAGAGCTTCACATCTTGTTGAAAAGAATGTGTATTGTGCACCAGTTAGGTGAAATACTTTGTCAATTTCAATTAGGCCTTTTTAGTCAAATGTGTAACTTGACTCTGATTTTTTTTTTATTTATTTTCTGTCTCGATTTGTTTATTACTGAAAGGGTAATGCTAATATTGTCTCTCTCTTTCAAGATTTACTAGTGCTTGCTTTAAAGAATTAAATTCTCCTGCATGGGGTACACAGAGATCTGTTTGTTATATATTACTACAGTGACCCCTTCATCATTATATAGTGACCTTTGTTGCTTTTTTTCTTAGTCTTTGACTTGTAGTCTATTTTATCTGATATAAGTAAGTTATTCCTGTTCTTTTGGTTTCTATTTCAATGAAACTAAATGAACCAGGTGTAACTTGTATCTTTCTCCGTAACTCCACTTTTGGTCGATGTGGATGTGGTTTCTTTATAGATGAAGCAGTTTTCTTCAAAGGCACCATATAGTTTGGTCTTGTTTCTTTATTCATTCAGTCACTCTATAACTTTTACTTGGAGAACTCAGTACATTTACATTTAATGTTCTTAATGATAGGTAAGGATTTACCAATGTCATTTTTTACTCATTGTTCGATTTTATTGTATCATCTCTATTTCTTCCTTCTTCTATTATTGTCTCTTTTTTTGGTTAAGAGAGTTTTTCTGAAAGCAGGTTTAAATTTAGTGCTTTTTATTTTTTGTGTATTTGTGATTTGTTTTTGCTTTGTGGTTATTGTGAGACTTACAAAAATATTTTAATGGTATGACAAGTTATTTAGACAAATGACAACCTTTCTTTGACTATAAAGAAAAACTAGAAACAAACACTGACAACAAACTATTTAATTCTACATTTCAACTCCACCCCCCGACCCCTGCTACATTTGGCCTATGTTTTGGCTTCAATTTATGTAATCTTATATTGCCTATCTCTTAACAGATTGATTTAGATATTATTGATTTTGATTGACATGTTTTTTAGTCTTCATACTAAAATTATGAGTGGGTTACCCACATAATCATAGTGTTAGAATATTTTGAGTTCTTTTTTTTTTTCAGTATTTACTTTTACCACCAAGTTTTATGCCTTGAAGTGGTTTATACTTGCCTATTAGGATTTGTTTTCAGATTCAATAATTCCATGGCATTTTTTTAAGATTGGTCTGGTGGTAAAGAATTCCCTCAGCTTTTGTTTGGAAAGACTTTATCTCTCCTTCATGTTTCACAGATAACTTGTCTAAACACTAAACTAGTGTTTGGCAGTCTTGTTTTTTACCAACTTGAATGTGGTATCACATTCCATTCTTATGGTGGAATATTACTTATTGATAAGTTTTTACCCAGACAAATTGGAGCTTTTTTGTATATTTGCTTCTTATTTTTTGCTGCTTTTAGAATCCTCTTTCCCCTTGACATTTGGGAGTTTGATTATTACATGCCTTTATGTAGTTTTATTTTGTTTAATCTGACAGTCTCTTACCTTCCTGTGCCTGGATGTTTACATCTCTCAAATTTTAAAACATTTTCTGTTATTATTTTTTGAATTAAATTTTTATTCCTTGATCTTCCTTAGCTTCATTTTGAATACTAATAATTCTGTAATTCTTTTTTTCTTTTCTTTTTTTTAATGGAGTGTCACTCTGTTGCCCAGGCTGGAGTGCAGTGGCAAGATCTCAGCTCACTGCAACTTCCACCTCCCAGGTTCAAGCGATTCTCCTGCCTCAGCCTCCTGAGTAGCTGGGATTACAGGCACTCCCAGCTAATTTTTGTATTTTTAGTAGAGACAGGGTTTCACCATGTTGGTTATGCTGGTCTCAAACTACTAACATCATGATCAGCCTACCTCAGCCTCCCAAAGTGCTGGATTACAGACATAAGCCACCACGCCTGGCCAAATACAGATAATGCTTAAATTTTCTCTTTGAGGTAATTTAATTATCTATATCCTGCATGGGTTCTTTATTCTTTTTCATTCACTTTTTTCCTCTGTGTATTTTATAATATCCTATCTTCAAGCTCACTAATTCTTTCCTCTGATTGATCCATTTTGCTGTTGAGAGCCTGTAATAAAATTTTCAGTATAGCAAATATATTTTTTACTTACAAGATTTCTGTTTTATATTTTAAATTATTTCAATGTTTGTTATATTTCTTTGATAAATTTCTGTTGCTTTCCTTCATTATTTTGTGGATCACTGAGTTTCCTTAAACATGCTACTTTTAATTTTTGATCAGAGAGCTTGCCTTTCATACTCCCTTTAGAGTCACTCTCTGTCTCCTTGCTTGTCTGGGAAGTTTTCGGTTTTTTAGTTCCTTGTTTCATATTGTTATTGTGCATTTGCTTCTATGTCTTCACATTGAAGGATTAGTTATTTATTCCAGTTTTCACTGTTTGGCTTGTTTCAATTATTGGATATGTCTGTATATAGATTTATTTGCAATGTATCTGTTGAATATATTTTTGCAAGGTCACTGCCTCCTCTTCAGCACTAGATGGCACCTTAACCCTATGTTTACCTCAGCCCTAGCAAACAAAAGCACTGTCCAGCCTGAATGGTAGAAGTCCCACAGGGAATATTCTGGCAGTGTGGGAAAACTGGCTTAGGAGTTTGTGCCTATGGAACTTGTGAAACTTACTTCCTATTTATTTATTTTTCTTGAGACAGTGTTTTGCTCTTGTCATCCCGACTGGAGTGCAATGGCCCGATCTCAAATCACTGCAACCTCTGCATCCTAGGTAAGTGATTCTCCTGCCTAAGCCTACTGAGTAGCTGGGATTATAGGTGTGTGCCACCACACCCAGCTAATTTGGTGCACGGTCATATTTTTATTAGAAATAGGTTTTCACCATGTTGGCCAGGCTGGCCTTGAATCCCTGACCTTAAGCGATCCATCTGCCATGGCCTCCAAATGTTCTGGGATTACAGGCTTGAATCAAGGAGCCTGAACCTTAACCTCCTATAGCATGGTGCTGCTAGACAGCCACTCTGTGTTAACTTCTTTGGCCAAAACACAGATGAGGGTTTCCTGCATAGAAATACTGTCCCACCTTCTCCCCTCTGTCTAGCTGTCCTCAAGAAGTTTCTTTCTTCAGGCACTCAAAATGATGCCTGTGGGGTAAGGCAAGGATAGGTTTTCTGTCAGGGAATCCAAGATGTAGAAGCTGATGTCTTCCTGGATCTACTTTTTTCTCATGTAGTAACCATGAGTTGGGGTTAGGGCACTTTCTGCATGCTTATAGTGCTTGGCAGACTGGGGAAAGAATGTTGCAGATATGAAAGTCTGATTCTCTTACCATATGCTCCCAATTTTTTCACTTCTCTGTGTTCCCAGGAAATGTCTTCTCCTCATATTTAAGTATTGGAATATTACTGGTGATAATCCTGGCAATAATATTTGGTTTTGATTTAATGTAGTCGGGTTGTGGGGAGTAAAACCAGTTGGCTTCTACTTTGCCATTTTGGCTTATTAAAGGTCTTTTAGATTTTCTCTTTATGATGAGTAAATTTTGGTAGTTTATATTTCTAGAAATATTTGCATTGCATTGAAGTCATTAATGGAAGTTGTATAACTATCCCTTGTAGTTATTGTTTATATATTTTTGGTGCTGCTGGGCAGCCATATTTATATATATAATGTGGGGCACTAAATTCAGCAATCATTATTGATGTGTGTGTGTGTGTGTGTGTGTGTGTGTGTGTGAGAGTGTAAAGTTTGGCTCTTATCCCCACCCAAATCTTATCTTGAATTGTAACTCCCACAGTTCCCATATGTTGTGGGAGGGACAGAGTGGAAGGTAATTGAATCATGGATGCAGGTACTTCTCATGCTGTTCTCACAATAGTGAATAAGTCTAACTAGATTTGATGACATTACAAGGAGGAGTTCCCCTACACAAACTCTCTCTTTGCCATCATCCTTGTAAGACGTGACTGGCTCCTTCTTGCCTTCCAGAATGATTGTGAGGCCTTCCCAGCCATTTGAAACTGTAACTCCATTAAACCTCTTTTTCTTCCCAGTCTAGGGTTAGTCTTTATCAGCAGCATGAAAATGAACTAATGCAGTAGTTGGTGCCAGTACAGTGGGGCACTGCTTAAAATATATCTGAAAATGTAGAAGCGACTTTGGAACTGGGTAACAGGCAGAGGTTGAAACAGTTTGCAGTGCTTAAGAGAAGATGGGAAAATGTGGGGAAGTTTGAAACTCCCCAGAGACTTGTTAAATGGCTTTGCTCAAAATGCTAATAACGATATGGACAATAAAATCTAGGCTGAGGTAGTCTCAGAGGGAAATGAAGAATTTGTTGTGAATTACAGCAAGGTTAGTCTTGCTATGTTTTATCAAAGAAACTGGAAACATTTTGCTCCTGCCCTAAAGATTTGTGAAATACTTTACTTGAGAGAAATGATTTAGGGTTTCTGGTGGGAGAAATTTCTGTGAAGCACGTAATTCAAGATGTGACTTGAGTGCTGTTAAAGGCATTCTATTTTATAAGAGAAGCAAAGTATAAAAGGGAAAATTTATAGCCTGACAATGCAATAGAAAACAAAATTCCATTTTCTGAGAAGAAATTCCAGTGGGGTGCTGAAATTTGCATAAGTAACAAAGAACTGAATGTTAATCCCCAAGACAATGGGGAAAATGTCTCCAGGGTATGTCAGTGGTCTTCAAAGCAGCCCCTCCCATTACAAGTCTGAAGGCTTAGGAGGAAAAAATGGTTTTGTAGGTTGGGCCCAAAGTCACCTGTGCTGTCTGCAGTCTAGGAACTTGGTGCCCTGTGTCACAGCCACTCCTGCTGTGACAGCTCTGGTTGTGGCTTCAGAAGGTGGCCCAGGTACAGCCCTGCTTGTGGCTTCAGAGGGTACAAGCCCCAAGCTTTGACAGCTTCCACATGATATTGAGCTTGTTGGTGCCCAGCAGTCAAGAATTGAGGCTTGGAAACCTCTGCCTAGATGCTAGAGAACGTATGGAAACACCTGGATGTCCAGGCAGAAGTTTGCTGCAAGGGTGGGGCTCGCAAGAAGAACTTCTGCTAGGGCAGTGTCTCCACACAGAGTCCCTACTGCGGCACCTCCTGGTGGACATGCGGGAAAAGGGCCACTGTCTTTCAGACCCTAGAATGGTAGATCCACTGACAGCTTGCACCATGTGCCTGGAAAAGCCACACACACTCAATGCCAGCCCATGAAAGCAGCTTAGAGAGAATGCTCTACCCTGTAGTGCCACAGAGGTGAAGCTGCCCAAAACTATGGGAACACACCAACTGAATCAGGGTGACCTGGATGAGAGACATGAGTCAAAGGAGATCATTTTGGAACTTTAACATTTGACTGCCTCACTGGATTTCAGGCTTGCCTGGGGCCTCTAGCACTTTTGTTTTGGCTAATTTCTCCCATTTAGAATGGCTATATTTACCTAATGCCTTTACCCCCATTGTATTTGGGAAGTAAATAACTTGCTTTTGATTTTACAGTCTCATAAGTGGAAGGGACTTGCCTTGTCTCAGATGAGATGTTGGACTGTGGACTTTTGAGTTAATGTTGACATGAGTTAAGACTTCGGGAGACTGTTGGAAAGGCATGATTGGCTTTGAAATGTGAGGACATGAGATTTGGAAGAGGCCAGGACAGAATGATATTCTTTGACTATGTCCCAACTCACATTTTATTTTGAATTGTAACTTCCACAGTTCTCATGTGTCTTTAGAGGGACTCAGTCAGAGTTGAATCATAGGGTAATTGCATCATGGAGGTGGTTCTTTCTCATGCTACTCACACAAAGTAATTAAGTCTCACAGAATCTGGTGGTTTTAAAAAGAGCAGTTTCTTTGCACAAATTCTCTCTCTTTGCCTGCTGTCATCCATTATCGGGAGCACGTCTGCCAGGAGCTCTCGACCTGCAAGAGGGTTCCAACTTGGATAGGGGGGTGCGTGGAAGACAAAGAATGATAGACAGATGGGGTCTGGAGGGTTGAAAAGCATATGCTTTACCAACAACTTTATTCGTGCTCAGGGTCAGTATATATATCTTTTTTAGGTATGTGTCTACGTGAGACAAAGGGGTACAGAAAGTTTTAAAGTAGAAAAATCAACATCATAGGGTAAGAACAATGGAAAGGTCAGATACACAATTAACCAGAACAAGTGGTCACACTATCTCATCTAAGGGTAAGTCATTTATCTTCTAGAGAAAATCAGCAAAGTCATAAAACATGACTTAGTAGAAAACTCAATTATCACATATGTAAAACATGTCTTAGTAGAAAACTCAATTATCATACACAATGCATGTCATGACTGCATGGCCATCTGGCGATTGCCCACAAGTTTAACTTTTACCTAAGTCTTTCTCTGTTCCTGCTTTCCGATAGCTCGACTCCTTCAACTGGAGACACTGTGTCTGGGCTCGAGCCCTCCATATTGTGAGGCCCATTTTTGGGGGGCCTCACATGGGATCGTTCCCCACAGTTCTCCCTTTTCTGTTTTTTAATTGCAACTCAAATAATCTTAGTTGCAATTGTTGAAGGGAGGAGAACACAAGGTGAAAGAGGAATGGCAGAAAAAGAATTAGGATGAGTATAAAAACTTCAATGCCAATTATAGATGACAACGAAGGAAGATGAGTCCAGTGCAGCCAAGAGGACAAGGTGTTTACAATGTCCTTAGTGATGGTGTCATCCTGAGGAAGTTTGTCTCGAGAAATATCAGTTGCATGTATTTGTTTTTGCAGTTTTAGGATGTTCAACGATAAATTACTATGAGACCATATCCCCTGCAAGTGTGCTTTAACAAGTGGCCATTGCCAAACAGATTCATTATAAGGGGCATTAGTTACACAGCTATACTTATACTCAGCATGGCAAGGAAGAGACAAACGATTTTGAATGTTATACACTTTGTTACCAAGTAAATTAACAGTTTCTTCCAAAGCATTTAGTTTAGCTTCCAGTTTTTTGTCTATATCTATTTGAGTTGCCATAGAAGCAGAAATATTTTTTGCAAGATGGTTAACATAAGTAGCAGTTTGTACATTATAAGCAAGACTCACAGCCGTAGTGGCTGTGGAGGCAACAATAGTTACAATAGCTATTATACTAGCGATTAACATTCCAATAAAACATTTTGGTCTAATCATTAAATCTCTTATTTCTTGTAAAACTTGTAATCCCTTATCATTATACCAAGCACCAGAAATGTTAACAGGAAGCATAACATAGGGGGGTTTGGTGTACAATTAAAATAACAGGAGTAGGGAAAACAGTTGAATCAAGACAATTTGTAAGAGTACAATCAGAGCAAGTGATTGAGTAATGTCCATTGTTTTCTGCAATTTTAATGTTCCCATATAGGATGGCATAAGGAGAAGGAACACAAGCCTCAACATATAATTTTTGCCTAGCAAGATAAGAGGCACTTCTAAATCCAGCTCGAACTATACTTGGTATGAGAGCTGTAAATAATTTCCAAAGTGAAGAATAAACATGACCAGAAGGTGTGGTAAAAATAGGAGTACCGCATCCCCCGGGCACTTCATACCGTTGTACACTGGTGCCTAGAGGAAAGGTAATGGACCAATCAAAAAGGGTGAAACCTATGGAAAAGGTATAACTTAAAGCCTTTTCTTGTTTAGGATAGCATAGCTTCCAAGGTGGTGAGGGATCAAGGGACTGATTACTGGGTCTGCATCTCTCTCTTTTGACTTTTGGGAAATCTGGAGAGGAAATATTATCAGATTCTTTAATTCCATAATAATACAATCCCCAATCTCTATTGACATAAGTTTCCTCACCAGGTTTAAGGTCGTTATTTCCTTCATAGGTATGTAACTCTCTCCATCCAAGTTTGAAACAGTGTGGGCCAAGAGTGGAGGGAAAAGATGGCTTATTAGTAGCTACTCTACTTGTATAACCATTAGTATCCCAAATTTTAGAAGCATAAAAACACATAGGAGGATCAGCAGCTTGAGCTATATAATTGTATTTTGCCACCTGAGGAGCTATATGAGATGAAGAAGGAAACCCTAAAACAGAGGTATCGTTAAGATAAATTGGGAAAGAGGGGTCATTCCAAGTAGCTGGCCTAAGTACTGGAGGATCAGGAACATATGCCCACAAAACTCGGTCTTCAGACCTGGCACCAGGAACCTGACAAGAGAGAATAGCAAGCATAGCAATGAACATCATAGCAGGAGTGCGAGGAGTATTTTGAGAATCCACCAGACGTGTTGCTTCAGTACTGAGTCGCTTCATCTGGGTCCATGTTGGCAGGGAACTGCGATGGAAGGGGAATGTTGTTCTCTTCTTGCGGTGACGATGCGGGGGTTGCGGCGTCAGGTGCAGGCATCTCAGACGAGGGATGAGGGTGCCGGTGCCTCCCAACTGCTTGAAGCAGTCGAGAAACAAAGTTTTGGTAAGGTTCATCTGGCCCTTGTCTGATTTTAGATAGTTCCTCAGTTTTAATTGCTGCAGAAGGCAATGCCTGCCAAGCTTTAACAGCCAAAGTATTAATTTGAGCATAAGCTATATTAGGCATAACGGCTTGTGCATCAAGACCTTCATATTCACCTTTTCCGCAAAGCATATCCATAGTAAGTGGGATTTGATTTCTGTGATTTTGCTCAGCTTGTTCATGAGCACGATCTTCGTAATCGGCTCTCCAAAGTAAATAATCACCACCAGCTAAGCAAGCTTTAGTTAATCGTCCCCAGTCACAGGGAGGAAGGGCTGAAATTGTTATGTTTTCTATTAAGGATATGGTGTAAGGAGCCATTGGTCCATACTGAGCTACCACTTCTTTTAATTCCTTTAAAGTTTTAGGTGGGATGGGGTTATAATTACGGACAACATTTCCCTGATTATCAGTGACCTCTACTACCGGAAAAAGAGAGGGGAACATGTTATCATACTTAGAAAATCCTCTCTGGAGAGACATTAAAGCATGGGTAAGAGGAGTTATAGGAGCTGAATTAGTTGCCCTTAAAGTGATAGCACCAGACACAGGTGAATTTTCTTGTATTACGGGAAAACATCGCGGCTTGTTATTAGTTATAGCCTGTGAACAAAGTGTAAGTAAATTTCGGAATTGACGTAGGAAATCAGGAGGCAAAGTAAGGGTAATGGGACCAGGTGTCCACTGTGGAGTTGGTGTCATGTTTTCAGGCTGTGAAACAATGACCTCAGTTAGTGGGACATCAAAAGCATTAAAAGCATATTCACTATGATGACTATATGACCCGCGCTTCGCAATTTCATCTTGATCTGGAGCCACTGGAGTTGAATCAGGAGGTTTAAAATCTAAAGTAGTTTGTGGCAGGTTTTGAGCTGGCTGTGTTAATGAAACAGTAGAGGAATAGGGCGACACAGAAGGTTGGGACAACATAGAAGGACAAACGCATCCACGTAACTTGCTCCAAACAGAAAGTAAAACATTAGATTGAGGTAATTCTTTGTTATAAAAACAGAATTGTTCAATTTTTTCTCCAATAATGTTCCAAGTAGGTTCATCTAACACACCACCTTCAGGAATCCAAGGACAAATCTCATGTACTATTTGCAAAAACTCTTCTATCATTTTAAACTTAACATCGTGTCCCTGAGACTTTAACATAGACTGTAACAAATGAACAAAAAATTTCTGCTACTTCGACTCGAGCTGCCCCATTTTACTCCAGATGAAATATCCTAACAACTTGTATGTACGATACTTATGTGAAACTTTAGAAACTTTTCTCAATATTTACAAAGAAAGAGAAGACAGAGAGTAAAAGGAAAGAAAAATTCAAACTTATCCCAACTTACCGCTGCAGCCTCACTTCTTAGTGTCACCAAAGTCCCCAATGTCCAAATCCTTTCGTGGTGGTCGCCACTTATCAGGAGCATGTCTGCCAGGAGCTCTCGACCTGCAAGAGGGTTCCAACTTGGATAGGGGGGTGCGCGGAAGACAAAGAATGATAGACAGATGGGGTCTGGAGGGTTGAAAAGCATATGCTTTACCAACAACTTTATTCGTGCTCAGGGTCAGTATATATATATATATATATCTTTTTTAGGTATGTATCTACGTGAGACAAAGGGGTACAGAAAGTTTTAAAGTAGAAAAATCAACATCATAGGGTAAGAACAATGGAAAGGTCAGATACACAATTAACCGGAACAGGTAGTCACACTATCTCATCTAGGGGCAAGTCATTTAATTAACCAGAACAGGTGGTCACACTATCTCACCTAAGGGTAAGTCATTTATCTTCTAGAGAAAATCAGCAAAGTCATAAAACATGACTTAGTAGAAAACTCAATTATCACATATGTAAAACATGTCTTAGTAGAAAACTCAATTATCGTACACAATGCATCTCATGACTGCATGGCCATCTGGCGATTGCCCACAAGTTTAACTTTAACCTAAGTCTTTCTCTGTTCCTGCTTTCCGATAGCTCAACTCCTTCAACTGGAGACACTGTGTCTGGGCTCGAGCCCTCCGTATTGTGAGGCCCATTTTTGGGGGGCCTCACATGGGAGCGTTCCCCACAATCCATGTGAGACATGAGTTGCTCCTCCTTGCCTTCTGCCATTATTGTGAGGCCTCCCAGCCATGTGGAACTCTAACTCCATTAAACTTCTTTTTCTTTCCAGTCTTCGGTATGTTTTTATTAGCAACATAAAAATGGACATGTATATATATATATATATATATATATATATATATATATATATATGTATATATATGTATTTACACATATGTCTATATATTATATATTTATATATTTTTTGAGGTCAGTGATAATACTTCCTCTTTCTTTCTGAGTTTTAGTTTTATTAACCTGCTCTTTTTATCCTGGTAATTCTAGTTAAATTTTATAAATTGTATTGATCTTTTGAAATAATGACCCTTTTTAAAAATTTTATAATTGTTTTATATTTTCCTTTTTCTAACTGTAATCTTTGTTACAACATTGGTTCAGATTTCTTCTTTTTAATTAATTTTACACTGGAAGTCTGGCCATAGATTTGATTTATAGTTTCTAGATGTATAAATAACCATCTAGTACCACTTTAGCTTAATTTCTTTAGTATGTTGTATTTTCATCTTCCTCTCCAATTATTTTTCAATTTTGATTGTGATTCTTTTTGACTCATTGCATATTAAAAAGTACATTGTTTAATATTTAAACATATTTATAAGTTTCTGAAACATATTTTCTTTGACTTCTAATTTTATTCTATTTTGTCTGTAGACCATACATGTTATCAGTTCAGTTCTTAATATTGATTGAGAATTTATTGCTTATAATAGTTTTTATCCTGAGGACAAGGTTTGTTTTAATGTCTTTAATATCCATGTTATTTTTTTCTCTTTTTATTATTATCAAATGTGGAGTACTGAAATCAACAACCATTATTGATATACTGTATAGTTTTTATTTAATTTCATCAAGTTTTATTTCAGCTGCCTTGTGGCTCTGATGACAGAGTCATACATGTTTTTAATGGCTATGTCTTCCTAAGTATTTGATCCTTTTATTATTATAAATTGTCATTAGTAATTTAATCATTATAACTTTTCTCCAATAATACTTTCCAACTTAAATTTCATTTTGTCTAATATTAGAATAGCCATCTCTTATCTCTTTTGGTTACTGTTTGAATAGTAAACAGTATTTCAGCTTAGTTGAGTTTGCATCTAAAATGTATTCTTGTATAGTAATATACAGCTAGTGCTCGACTTACGACCATGATTGGTTCTGACAGACCGGTCGTAACACAGTTTGGTTGTAAGTTGAGAAGGCTATATGTACCGTACTGTGAAATGATGTTATAAAAACCTTTAAGTCATATTTTATCATAATTTTCTTTCATTATTGTTATATATCATAATTTTCTTTGTTCATTTTATGCCATTTGTATCATCTCTACACCATTTTGTTTCTTATTTTTACATTCGTCAGGTTTAAGTAAAATACTGCATTACCAGTAGTAAAGGTTGACCTGAATGCTTATTATGAAAACATTCTTGTCAAATCTCATTTTTAAACAGCCACCTTAACTTGTGGTAAAGGCGCAGCCTTGTGTAAAACTGGAATATTCACAGATCACTGAACCACAGTGGTCTACGGTTTGAAGTGAAAAACCACAGCACATGATGAGTTTTGAAAAGCAGAAGAGTATGAACTATGTTAAGTCTTAGGGTTAAAAAGGACTAGTTGCCAGGTATTTATTTATTATCATTGTAAATAGAAAAGTAAATCATCACAATTTTATGTGACTTTCCATGGGATACAAACATGTAGCATTCATCATAAAAGATGTCATCTGGATATCTTGTTCAAATATAATTTAAACTTAGTATGTTCTAATATTGTTAAAGATATAGGGATATAAACCACTCACATTTTAGTAAGAAAGGCAAGAAAATGACTAATAATGATATGATATAGCATATATGTTTATTGTCCTGCAGTGTCGTATGCCCAGCTGGGCAACGTTTGTGCTGCCAGACGCAGAGCAGTCGTGGCTAGCGATTGTGGTCGTAAAGTCGAATGGTCGTAAGTTGCATAGGTCGTAAGTCGATCTATGCCTGTATATAGTATAATGGCCAAATTTGTGTATTTACCATATTCATCACTTTATTTTTCTTTTTCTGTGGTGACAGCGTTCAAAATCTTTTCTTCAAGCTATGTAGCTCTACCACTTTGTTATTTGCTCTAATCATTATACTATGTAATAGAATACCAAAACTTACTCTTTCTGTCAGAAAATGATAGGACCAAACTGATTTTGTTCCCTCCAATAACATCTAGGTTTCTGTTTTTCATGACTACCATGTTTTTGAGGCTGCTATTTTGCTAGGTCACCATGGAACCTGGTCAAGAAGAAGAATAATTAGAGACTATTTAAAATGCCACAAAACTCAGTATTTTTACCAAGATTTATTATTTTTAACAAAGCAACTCTCAGAATACTTACAATTCTTTTTTTTTAAATAGTTCTAAAAATATTAATTTTGATGTTTAATCTTTGTGTTTATTCTCATTGGACAGGCAGATGATATTATGCTGCCATTCTGCTGTCACCCAGCAAAAATGTTTTAATTTAAAAGGCAAGAAAAATTAATAATCTAGCAAGAATTTTTGAGATTTATGTCAGAAATTGAATGAAAAAGACTCTGTACTTGTTTCAGATAAGTATAAGGAATATTAAAAAGAAATAATTTTAAAATAAACACTTTTTATTAAAATAGGTAACAAAGTACTATTTTAGTATAGAGAAGTGAGAGGTAGGGTTAGAAATAAAAATTCAAAAATAAGAAAACAAACTGAGACTTGAAGGTTAAATAGTAGTTTACCAGGCTAAGAGAAAAAAATAAAAAATATTCTCAGGAGGAAGACTGGTAAAGAACTAAAAGCACAGCCAAGAATTTCCTTTCCATTTTTAAAATAATTCCAATATTTGTATACATTTTTAATAAATAAAATAAGCAATGCTCCTGATAATATTCTCCCAAATATCAATAAAAATAATGAAAATGTAAGATTTACCATAACTATATAGGTTTTCTTAATATCATATCTTACTATGGCTAGCATTCTTATATATCTTGCTATCACTTTCACATATATTTATTGCATTATGCAAAGTTTATTTTAATTAAATATTACTAATATTGATTTACATACACACTTTCAATGAATTCATTATTAGCCAGGGAAAATCATATATTCCCGTTTTCAAATTTTTCTGACTCAAACATCTACCAATCAGAATAATTTGAGATTAGCAAGGAAAGGCAAAACTTTCAGATTCTGAGAACACACACACGCACACACACACACACACACACACACACACACACACTCTGACCAAAAATAAACAATGACTCTTGGAATTAGCCTGTTTCAAAGTTCAGTAAATACTGTGGAATATATTTGGTGTTTCCTTCCCTTTGTTTCTATATACCTATACAAAATCAGATAATTCCTCTCTGTTACCTCAAAAGAAACTATAGGAATAGAAAAATGCTCCTGATATGAAAATTTGACTCAGCAATATTGTTTTTATTGTGAAAGAAATAAATAAAATGCTTAATAGACACAAGAATACTGTCATCAGTAAAAATGTTTAGATCTCATAACAGTAACAATATAAAACAAAGTATATTGTCCTTACAAATATGTAATATTCTAAGAAATGCACATTTTAATACTCTTATTTTTCAACTTATCAATGAATATAGAAATTCAGTTTCTAACAATACGATGGTGTAGCATCACAAGGAAAGCATTCCTGAGGTCAACAAACTGACACAAGAACAGAAAACCAAACACCTCATGTTCTCACTCTTGTGGGTATTGAACAATGAGAACACATGGACACAGAGAGGAGAACATCACACACTCATGTCTGTTGAGGGGTGGGGGCCTAGAGTAGGGATAGCGGGGGTGGAGAGATTGGGATTAAATACCTAATGTAGGTGATGCGGGATGGAGGCAGCAAACCACCATGGCATATGTATACTTATGAAACAACCCTGCAAGATCTTCATATGTACCCCATAACATGTTTAAACATTAGGGGAGAATGTAAAACAATCATGCAAGTCAGTCAAATTTGATAATTTCTTGCAAAGGTTAATCTGTGAAGCTCTTTTGCCTACACTGTTTAATTCAATGACATGTTGCCATTCCTTAGCTTGTATTGGTGATCCAACAATATACTATTTCTTTTAAAATTGTCATGTTGTCAAAACAAGTTGGCTAAGTTTTAGAAAATGAAAAATGATATTTGAAGTGATATTTTAGGGTTAAATTATAAAAGACTTACATGATGTGATAAACATACAGATTGCACCCTTTCAGCAACATAATTTTTAAGAATAATGAATAATGTGTCTATATTTTTAGGAACAATATTTGTTTTATTACTAATTAATGAATAAAAAAAGTTTACAGAATTTAACAGTAGTTATAAGGGGAATGGGCCATTAATCTTTTAGCCAAATGTATAAGTTAGTATATTTTTACTATAAAATATACATTTACATGCTATGAAGTTTCATATTTATTTAATTTGGCTTTCTCAAGGTGTTAAGTAGAACCATGTATTTATATATATATACGTATTTTAACAATATATTTTCCTCTATAGTTATTTCAAATATTATAATTAAATAAAAAGAATACCCTGAAAGGATGGCATATTTTATTTATTAATGTAATTTGACAAGAATATTCAGTCATAACATTTTAGTATTATTAGGTTTTACATTGTTAATAAACAAAATTAGTAATTGTGAGCTCATTGTATAAACCTTAATCTGTATTTGCTATATAAATTAGCACGTGACTTTATTATATTGTTAAATTATTATAACACTGTACTTTGAAAAAAATGAACTTTTTGATTGGGTGCATTCCAAAGTAGCTGTATTTAACTTTGCTTTTTTTCATTAGTCATAATATTTACAGTACATATGTTTGCTTTAATAAAATTTTTTGTCTTTTATTCAAATTTCAGTATAATGCTAATTGGGATGATTAATAAAACATTTTTCAAGAAGAGCGTATCAAAAAGCATAATCCAGGTGTGTATCTAGAAGATGATAATGAAAGTTTTAGCAATTTGGTCAAATAAATACAAACATATATATTTACATACATACATAAATATAGAAATATTATTGGCCATGTTTATATTTGCCTATTGTTATATTATTAATAAAATTATGAGTTGCAAGCTCTTTGTATAAACCTTAATCTATATTTGCTAGAGAAATTGATAAATGATTTTCTTATTGC